CATTAATATGCCTTCAGGATCTACATGGCAGCTAATCTGTAGGAAAATATTACTTGTTGAGTTTTGGTATAATATTAAGTAAAACTATCCACAATTATCTGAAGAAGTTGTTAGAATAGTCCTCCCTTTTTCAGCTACACATATGTGTAAGGCAGGATTCTCTTCCCGTACTTCAACCAAATAATCATTTCACAATTGTATGCAGAAGCTGAAGCGAGAATCTGGTCGTCTTTGGTTAAACCAGACATTAAAGAAATTTACAAAAGTGTAAAATAATACTACTTTTCTCACTAATTTTTTTGTTTTGGAAAATATATGTATTTATCTTTTAAAATGCAATTGGGGTGCATGGGTGGCTCAGTCGGTTGGGCATCCTACTTCGGCTCATGTCATGATCTCATGGTTTGTGGGTTGGAGCCCTGCATCAGTCTCTGTGCTGACAGCTCAGATCCTGGAGCTTGCTTCAGATTCTCCATCTCATCTCTCTCTGCCCCTCCCCCCACTCACACTCGCTCGCTCTCTCTATCAAAAATAATTAAACATTAAAAAAATTTAATGCAACTTAATTAGCACATACTCAGGTTATTTTTTTTTAATTTTTTTTTAATGTTTATTTATTTTTGAGACAGAGAGAGATAGAGCATGAACAGGGGAGGAGCAGAGAGAGAGGGAGACACAGAATCTGAAACAGGCTCCAGGCTCTGAGCTGTCAGCACAGAGCCCGACGCGGGGCTTGAACTCACGGATCGTGAGATCATGACCTGAGCCGAAGTCAGAGGCTTAACCGACCCAGCCACCCAGGCGCCCCTCAGGTTATTTTTTTAAGTCAATTTATTTTTTAAATTCTCTGTTTCAGTTCCTAAAATGGTGTCAATACGTACACATAGTTCACATAAACAAGAAGTCCATTGGGGTGCTTTCAACTGTAAAGGGCTCCTGTGATCAAAAAGTTTGACCAGAAAGCTGGAAAAACAGTGGTACTAGAGTAGGCAGGAGAGGCAGAATGGGAGTGAAAGATTCCATCCAAGACGAAGGGAAGGCTATTTCTCCCATAGGAAACAAAGAAGGAGGAGAGGGTTAGGCAGATGCCAAGATATTTGGGGCTTGGAATTCAAAGGATTTCCCATCTGAAGTCTTGCTTTTCAGTGTGATGTAAGTGTTGGGGTTGTGTGTGGAAAGTGAGGGGAAAGGGGAAGGTAGCTCAGGCGTTTGAGAGACCCATGGAGCAGCTCTGGAGAACAGGAGAACCACCTGGCCACAGCCCTGCAGAGAGAAGACTAAGCAGCAATGGGGACAAGGGGTGAGGTGAACATTCCAAACCAGGGACAACGCTATACTCTTTACCCTGCCAAAGTAGCTTGGTTTTACTATAATTACTAAATTTCTTATCCATTTAATATTACAACCACACAGAAATAAGTAGAACAATATCTCAAAACACCTGTCTGTCCACCACCACCATTTTAACAATGCTAATGTTGGGGTGCCTGGGCAGTTCAGTCAGTTAAGTGTTCAACTCTTGATTTTGGCTCAGGTCATGATGTCATGGTTTGTGAGATCAAGTCCCATGTCAGGCTCTGCTCTGGCAGCACAGAACCTGCTTAAGATTCTCTCTCTCTCCCTCTTTCTCTCTCTCTGTCCCTCTTGTGCTCAGGCTCGCTCTATCCCTCTCTAAATAAATAAATAAATTTTAAAAACAAAACAAATGCTAATGTTTTGTCATAGGGAACACAGACTGAATATTTAAGCTAATTTATTTCTAGATACTATAAAATGTCTTTAAAAACTTTATTGGTAGTTTAGTCCACCCTTTATATTCTGATTTTATAATATACAGTTTTTAATTCTACTTCTGGTTGTTGATTTTGAAATGTAAATCTAGAAGATTGGACAATTGACAATCTTGCTGTTTTATTGTAGCTTCCAGGAACAAACAATTTTACTGGGGAAAATGGCTAAATGGATTTGTTTTCTTTTCTTTTTTTTTTTTTTTTGACTCTTAACAACTATTTATTATAAACCATAAGTTAAAGTTGTTTCAATGAAGAAAACTATATGGATTTTGAAGATATTTTCCTCTAAACAAATGATGCTATTTTAAATAAGAGGTAAGAGCTAAGCGTATTTAAAATTTTGGTCAACAATCTCCTTCAGGGTTTACTCAAGGATTAAATCCTGAATTATTTCATTATATTATTCATTGTTTTTTCTAATATGAAATTCATTGTCAAATTGGTTTCCATACAACACCCAGCTCATCCAAACAGGTGCCCTCCTCAGTGCCCATCACCCACTTTCCCCTCCCTCCCACCCCCCATCAACCCTCAGTTTATTTTCAGTTTTTAAGAGTCTCTTATGGTTTGCTTCCTTCCCTCTCTGTAACTTTTTTTCCTCCTTCCCCTCCCCCATGGTTTTCTGTTAAGTTTCTCAGGATCCACATAAGAGTGAAAACATATGGTATCTGTCTTTCTCTGTATGACTTATTTCACTTAGCATAACACTCTCCAGGTCCTAAATGGATTTGTTTTCATTTTCTCTTCAATGCATAACATAGGGAGGATCTAATGCCAAAAAAAAAAAAAAAAAAATCAAAGCTCAGCTTCCTTGTCTGAGGTGAACAAATTCTAATCCTTAAAGTGATCTCTTCAGAACCCAAAGTCTAGATTGGTTCATGACCTTGATTGTGCAGTTCTGACCACCTTTAGAAGTTCAGACTTCCCAGCTATGGAAGCACTCACTCCCTTTTCACTTCAAGTAAAGGCTCAGAGGATGACACAATACTCTAAAGTGTTTAAAAAGCAATATCCCCTTGTTGGGCTGAGGTCAAGCTGTGGTCATCTCCACTGAAGTCAAGGTCAACGACCTTCACAAGTTCTGATGCTAGCAATCTCTTTCTGCCTCCCTAAACATCCAGTGAGCCACGGGCCACTCAGCGCAGCACTCTTTCCCCTAAAAATGCGGTGCAGAGGGGCGCCTGGGTGGCGCAGTCGGTTGAGCGTCCGACTTCAGCCAGGTCACGATCTCGCGGTCCGTGAGTTCGAGCCCCGCGTCGGGCTCTGGGCTGATGGCTCGGAGCCTGGAGCCTGTTTCCGATTCTGTGTTTCCCTCTCTCTCTGCCACTCCCCCGTTCATGCTCTGTCTCTCTCTGTCCCAAAAATAAATAAAAAACGTTGAAAAAAAAATTTAAAAAAAAATGCGGTGCAGAATGAGAAGGGCAATGTGAGGTTTGCAAACTTTTTCTGTGAGATCTGTAATGGAATATGCTGCTGAAAGCTGTAATGTTGCTTCCACCAAGACACCATAGAGTTCTTTCATTTATTCCACGCAACAATCTCTCATTTTGAAAATAGAATTGTTAGCAATAATAATAAATACTAAGTATATTGCTCTTGCTAGTTTATAAAGTGATTTTCATATGTCCCTCTGGGTGATTATAAACACTGGTACATAGAAACTATTATAACAAAATTATAAACTATATACTGAGCGGATCTATAAAACTGTTGACATCTGGTTACAATGTTCTGTTGGACAGCCACTCTCAGGTATCAGGGCGACTCATCATCGTTCATTATGTCAGTACATTACTGATTCACTAAACTTTTTTTTAAAAAAGTCTCACCCAGTTGAAATGAAAATGCTACTTAAAAAAAAAATAGGGGTACCTGGATGGCTCAGTCGGTTGGGTGTCCAACTTCAGCTCAGGTCATGATCTCACAGTGAGTTCGAGCCCTGCGTGAGGCTCTGTGCTGACAGCTCAGAGCCTGGACCCTGCCTTGGATTCTGTGTATGTGTATGTCTCTCTCTCCCCTCCTCCGTTCATGCTCTGTTTCCCTCTGTCTCAAAAATAAATAAACGTTAAAAAAATTTTTTTAATTGATCTAACCAGTTAACAGGAATAGGATTCTGTGTTTGTTAAAGGCTCTCAAACAACCCCAAATTAGCCAATTTCCCTACAAACTGTTATTCTATTTGCAAAAGAAAATCAAAGCATAAACTTCCTTTTAAGTGTTTTTTTTCCAATATATGAAATTTATTGTCAAACTGGTTTCCATACAACACTCAGGGCTCATCCCAAAAGGTGCCCTCCTCAATGCCCATCACCCACCCTCCCCTCCCTCCCACCCCCTTTTAAGTCTTTTAAATAGATGGGATAGTATATGAAAAGGGATGCTTGTCCTCTGAAAAATTAACTTTCTTAAAAAGCCAACACCCCCATGATAGATAGGAAATGTACTTCTATAATATATGACAAATCTTGTCCAGTCAACTTCTGACCTTCCGGGTCACTCAAACTCTCCATAATTCAGATCGAATGCTTATCTCATAAACATACAAAACAAGACACATGTGAAACCACTTTGGTCAACTCCTCACTCATTCATCTATCATTCAGCCAACCAAAATGTATTGACTGCCTTCTTTTTTCCAGGGTCGCGTTAAAAAACTAACACACAATCTCTGCCCTGAGGAATTTTTTCTTGAGTTAGAGACAGAGACATAAACAATTAATTACCAAGCAGTGTGTTTATAACGAATGCAACCCTACTTGGAAACCTCATGCACAATTCTTAGTGTTTGTTGTCAGGTACTGGTTATAAAAGCCCTTGATTTTTGGACCTCCTTACTGAGGCACCTCACGTATTTTGGGGGGGGACATGAAAGGAACTCTGGATTTACACGCTCAGAAATTGGAAGGTACAAAGCTATTTTTTTTTTCAACGTTTATTTTTGGGACAGAGAGAGACAGAGCATGAACGGGGGAGGGTCAGAGAGCGAGGGAGACACAGAATCGGAAACAGGCTCCAGGCTCTGAACCATCAGCCCAGAGCCTGACGCGGGGCTCGAACTCACGGACCATGAGATCATGACCTGGCTGAAGTCGGACGCTTAACCGACTGCGCCACCCAGGCGCCCCGGAATTCTTGACGGCCATCCACCCCAGCAGCCAAAATGCGGGTCCTGCCTCAGCTTCCGGAGCTGCCTGGAGTGTGGCCACATGCAAGCTGGTTCTCCGCCTCCCTTCAATTCTTTGAGCCTCGATATCCTTTCAGTAAAGTCTCCTCTGCTTAGGAAACGCCAGAGTCATATTCTGTTTCAGCTAAGGTCCCTGCTTGATAATAATTTCCATCTCCTTCCTGACCGGAGGATGAGAGAGATTGCTGGGTGACGGTAGAGGAGCAAGGGTACTTTACAAATGATTCACTTGTAAAATGATCAATCCTCATTGGTGTTATTTGTCCTAGCAGTACTCAGTGGCCTGTGTGGAAATGTGAAAGTCATAAATGTCATATACGATCATCCCCAAAGAGTTTCTGGGACAATGAGGAGATGACATATGAGTCAGTTTCTTATTTTTGAACAAAATTTACCGAAACATTTTGGATTAACCTATAAAACAAAGGTTTTGAAAACATTACTTCTCCCTTAAACTCTCAAATGTGGCCTTAGAATTATCTATGCCCATTTGAAGTTTACAAAATTTTATTATTAATGTTATTACTTGGCAGTTACCCAGCTCTTTATTTCAAAGAACTATACATATGTTAACAACTATTTCTAAATTCTTACCTGCACTAGAAAAAACTTTCATTCTGCAAACAGGAAATGAGATTAAAAATACATGACTTTTGGGGTACCTTGGTGGCTCAGTCAGTTAAGTGTCCAACTCTTGATTTTGGCTCAGGTCATAATCTCACATTTCGTGGGATCGAGTCCCAAGTTGGGTTTTGGACCATCACTTGAGATTCTCTCTCTCTCCCTCAGCCCCTCCCCACCTCTCAAGATAAATTAGTAAGTTTTAAAAAAAAAGAATACATGACTTTTTCAAGGTTTGGCATGGATAAGTTTCTTGACTTTTTTATCATAAACATCAGCATCAACATTATTTCCATTTACTGATTCAGTTTGCAAAGCACATCTGCTGATATAGCCTTATTGGAGCCTCATCCACTTGTTTATGTATTCCAAAATGTTTTTTCATCTTTATTTTTATTAGTTTTATTTTTTTTAATGTTTTTATTTATTTTTGAGATAGAGAGAGACAGAGCATGAGCAGGGGAGGGGCAGAGAGAGGGGGAGACACAGAATCTGAAGCAGGCTCCAGGCTCCGAGCTGTCAGCCCAGAGCCCGATGCGGGGCTTGAACTCACGGAGTGTGAGATCATGACCTTAGCTGAAGTCGGACGCTCAACCGACTGAGCCACCCAGGCGCCCCTGTTTTTTCATCTTTAAAATGTATCTCGGATGTACACTAGGTGCTGATGTTACAGCAATTAATTACTAAGATTAACTAACCCCTGAGATGACTAAGAAAGTATTCCCTGCTCTCACTCTGATTCCAGACTGATGATGGAGTTAGACAATAAAGAGGGGGGTTCCAGCATGCTGAGAGTAATTCTGGGATGGAATTTAGGGAACCGAAGTATTGCAGAGGCACACCAGAGGTCATCCACAATGAGAATGGGGTGAGGAGGGACTCTGGACTTACCACAGCTTTGCAAAAAGACAAGACACAAATAACGCTCCATTCCGTTTCAGAGATGAAGAAGTAGCTCAGGGAGGTCAAGTGGACCAGAGCCAATAACAGTGAAGTGATGGAGTCCAGAATGCCAATTCTTACTCCTTCCCCTCTTCGTGCACAATTGTATCATCACCAAAATCATGGCTGGCACTTCATTGTCGTCCTCACCATCATCATCGTCATGATCATCATCATCGCAGTAAGGAAGGTTAACAGGACACGCATACTCCACAACTTTCTTATACCCAAAGAAAGCAGTGAAACACTTTGTGAATGAGACAAAGACATCATCTAGTCATGACTGCAGAGTATCACAAAGCCTTGCGGTCGCTATGGGTTTGTCCAGTGGCTACTGCTAGGCTCTAGTTGGCGACAGGCATGCTTCCGGGAGTAGATAAATGTTAAGGAGTGTTTAAAAGAGAGTCAGAGGATCGTGTGGCAAAGACAGAAGGGAAAGGGATTGGAGACGAGACAGCACCTCAGTTGGCTCTTGAGAGGCAGGAGCCGGCAGGATGTGGCCACAGTGTGACCCCCACAGCAGGCAGACAGACCAAGGTGTGGCTGGGGAGAAGAACATTCAGGTGAGGTGAAGTCATGAAGAAATGTGCCACCTCCAAGAGGCCCTGTAAATTTCTTCAGGTGTACATTTCTTCCAATGGCATGAATGTAAAAAAAAAAGGAATTACAGAGGTCAAAAAGAAGGACCCGTGATGATTTAGGATTCAGTTTTGTCTGAATTATTAGAAGTCTCATCCATGGGAATTTCTATAACTGTCAGTCACATTTTCTTTGTGGTCACAGATTATGACCATTTCTGTTCCTTTTTTAGAAAATGTTCTGTTTCTAGCATTACTCCAAAGTATTTTTTAAGTGCCTAGTTTTTTGGTCGACCACCCCCCGCCCCCACCCAGCCCAATCACAACTTCCTTGTGCACAGAATTGTAAATATCTTGCTCTTTTCTTGAAACTAGGAATATCTACATTAGTCTATTAAAAACATGAGGATTCTGAGCCTTCAGAATAATGGGTGCTAATAATCACCAAAATGTGGGGCTTACCTCTTATTATGTTCAAATTTAATTTAAATGTTGGAACAATTATTACTACAGACCACACTTCGATTATTGATCATTTAAAACGTTTTGGTCTGACCCATTAGATCCCAAAGTCCTGTGCTTCCCAGAGAATTGATTTTCAACTATGAATGTCTGAGTGGCCTTTAAAATGCCCAACCAAACTCTGAACTGTCAAAATAGCTGGGTGAGAGATAAGGGGGAAGAAAAGTATCCAGTCATCCAACCACATTTCTGCTTTTTTGTGCAAGTTTCAGATGAAATACAGTCACTCAATAAAGTCCTTCTGTTTCTCTTTCCCTCCCTCCCTGTCTTCCTCCCCATTCGCCTAGAGTGGGGAACCCTAAACCCTTTGGAGCCCCGCCAGCAGCACCAAAAGAATCTCTTGACTATTTTCCCAGGGAATTCCTGCCTTAAATGTCAGCGGAGTACAACTCCCCAGCCAAAGCAGAGTCCGGCTGGATCGGAATCCAGGAAAATGTGCCTGCTGTACCAAACGGGAAAACCTGGGTCCGTGGAGCATGGGGGCAGGGGAGAGATTATCCACAAAAGTTGCCACATCCATTGGAAAGACCCGAGTTTTCTCAGATTCACCCCACTGAGAACTGGGAGACTAAGCCAAGCGTTTTGGTTCCTTGATGGTTTTGTTTTGTGTGGTTTTTTTTTTTCAATTATTATTTTACTCTTTTGGTGGTGAACTGTATTTCTGGAAGCCATTCTGAACTGTAACATCTCAGTAGGGCAACATCTCTTTGAAAAGGGAACAAAGCTCTGTTAAAGCCCTTTGTTGTGAGAGTTGTGGTTGTGGCTGCTGCTGCTGTTGTTCTGTTTGTTTGTTTGTTTTTATTTTTTTTTCAACGTTTTTTTTTTATTTTTTTATTTTTGGGACAGAGAGAGACAGAGCATGAACGGGGGAGGGGCAGAGAGAGAGGGAGACACAGAATCGGAAACAGGCTCCAGGCTCTGAGCCATCAGCCCAGAGCCTGACGCGGGGCTCGAACTCCCGGACCGCGAGATCGTGACCTGGCTGAAGTCGGACGCTTAACCGACTGCGCCACCCAGGCGCCCCTATTTGTTTGTTTTTAATGAACATCCTGATATATAAGTGCTCTGGGGGGAATTCATGATGCTGAGATTCATGAAAACCAAAATAAGATTTATGATTTAGGATTGAATCTGCCCCTACCAGCCTGGAGACACTTCCGTCTGGTACTGAGGCATTGCTGGCATTTTTAGTGCTTTTGTGTTAGTCTTCAATCTCTGAATACATGAAGAAATATTAAAAGTTCTGAGGGCAAGGGTGGGAGAAGGAGTCCACAAATCCCAAAGATATACATCAGCACCAAAAGAAAACAGCGTGGTGTGGTAGATTAAAAATGTGGAAGCAACGTGTGTCAATCAGCTAGTTTTTGCTGAGTACTCTTGAAATGTTCATTTAATCTTCTCTCATTTTTCTCAGATGTTACTAAGCTACAACTGCACAAGGCTTTTCAGCGAAAAACTCACAAGTTTGCCTGGCATAGAACACTGATTTTATTTTATTTTATTTTATTTTATTTATTATTTTTTATTTTGAGACAAAGAGCGTGCACGTGAACTAGGGAGAGGGGCAGAGGGAGAGATAATCCCAAGCAGGCTCCAAACTCAGCACAGAGCCCGACATGGGGCTTGGTGTCAGGACCCTGGAATTATGATCTGAGGGAAAATCAAGAGTCAGATGCTCAACCAACTGAGCCACCAAGCGCCCGAAGAACATTGATTTTAAATCAATGTGCCACATTACTATCCTTCTCCCCGCAAAGATCATAGCACTGTACATTAAGAAAGTCAAGATTTAAACGGTAAACTGTTATTCCATTTTTAAATGAATTAGGCCCTTTTCAAGTTAGCAATGGAAAAAAAAATTTAGATTCCAAATCTCATTTGGCTCAGGGTCCAGGCCAGTTCAAAACAGATCAACTTAGAAGTCTTACTTATGTTCACCAAGGTTCTTGCCTCATGCTGCCCACACCATCCTCACAAGGGCATTGAAACTGCTTTCTTCCATCATTATCCTGCATGCATCACCCTAGACAACCCTACTGGAAACTCTGTCCCTAGTCCAAAGCAAAGCCAGGCAAGCACCGATTATTAGTGTTGCAGGAGAATCAATAATTCCTCCTCAAATATAAAAATAAAAAAGACGATAAGTAATACCTGATAAGAAAAACTAACCCCAGTAGGTGAAGGGTTAATCTCTGGTCACTTTTCAGCCACTCTGCTGAGAGTACTAATAAGTGCCCAAGTCGGTGCCAATTAGGGTGGCTCTTCCCTTGTTGGGAACAGCCATCCCTTAGGAACTGGACTGTCAACACATGCTACCAGGGCGGTGATCAGCCAGCCAGAAGGAAGGCAAAGAGTCTGAGAAACCATGGTAACCAAGTTTTTTTGCTGGCACTTTGTAAAATGGTGACAGGAACTGCCAAGGCCAAGGAGTGAATGCTAATGAGCCTAGGGCAACCTGCAAAAAGTGGACCTGAAAAATGTCCCCTGAACAATGGGCAGCCCTAAGGGATCACCACGCTTTGTGGGTTTCTGTGGATATGACTGACCACAGGCTTCATTCACAAGGAAGAATCTAAACACTGAAGTGTCATTCCTCGGGTTCATAGGCCTCACAGTCCCATCTGACTCAGTGTTCTTAGGGTCAGAGCAATTAGCACATCTGTCTAGAAAGTCAAAGTTTTCAAATTTTTAAAAACATTTGTGACCCATTGTTTAAATGGCACTCTAGGGGCGCCTGGGTGGCGCAGTCGGTTAAGCGTCCGACTTCAGCCAGGTCGCGATCTCGCGGTCCGTGAGTTCGAGCCCCGCGTCGGGCTCTGGGCTGATGGCTCAGAGCCTGGAGCCTGTTTCTGATTCTGTGTCTCCCTCTCTCTCTGCCCCTCCCCCGTTCATGCTCTGTCTCTCTCTGTCCCAAAAATAAATAAACGTTGAAAAAAAAAATTTTAATGGCACTCTAAAATCGGAGCGGTAAACAGCTTTAAGAATCAACAGGAGGGGCGCCTGGGTGGCTCAGTCAGTGGAGCTTCCGACTTTGCCTCAGGTCATGATCTCATGGTTGGTGGGTTCGAGCCCCACATGGGGCTCTGTGCTGACAGCCCAGAGCCTGGAGCCTGCTTGGATTCTGTCTTTCTCTCTCTCTCTCTCTCTCTCTCTCTCTGCCCTTCCCCCACTCACGCTCTGTCTCTCTCTGTCTCTCAAAAATGAATAAATGTTAAAAAAAATTTTTTTTTAAAGAATCAACATGAAATGTTTTAAGCATTCTTTGCAGAGTCACATAAATGCTCCCTTCACTTCTCATCAGAATTTATTCTTACCTTCAGGGAGCACATTTTAAGAAGGCCAAACCAACACCATCCCCCACCCCCAAAATTGAAAACCATCAGTGTGTAACCACATTCTTAAGGGTGTAAATTCAATCTCTATTATCTGAGAATGCTTGACACAATAATAAAATGCCCCTCTGACATTCACCCTCAAAATTTTAATTCCTCTTGCTAATAGCTTTTCACCCATTTCCAAATCTTAGGTCCCCAAATGAGACAAGAAAACAAAAAACTGTCATTGTGATGCATTCGTTCCGCACTGGGCCCCACAAATGATGCAGTCAGTCTGGTCCCTAGGTTTGTAGGTTTCAAATTTACCTGCGATTTCCAAAAATTTTGTCCCCACCCAACCTGCGTATTTTTAAATTTGCTACTCCATACCCAGCAATTATTATTAATGTAACAGTCAGAGGAGCACCTTGGAAGTCTTGTTTCCTATTTTTCCTATTTCCCTATCATCCAAATCAGAGCTGCCCAAGCTACACATGGACTTCTCTGTTGTGCTGCTTCTCAGGTCAAAAACTTCTAATAGAACCCATTGGATAGTTAGCCCCTCAACAGCAAATGCACTACAGCCCGGATCTCAATTCATCTCAGCTGCTGGATAACACAAATCTGTTTTCTCATGGCTGCCCAATTCTGCCTACAACACGCAACCAAACAAGACCAATTCTCAGCAATCCCTTGTGGTGAGAAGAGTTGAAATACAAATTGGGGGAAGTCCTCATTTTCAAAGATTACCGGCTAAAGACATACCGTGTAAGCAAACGTTTTGTGTTCCTGAAATGCCCTGTGTCTACAGGGATCAGGTAGAGAAAAGTTATTTCAAGTTCAAATATAACTCGACGATTGCCACATGGTACAGAGTCTTTCCACCCCTTCACTCCAAAAACCCAATCAGACAAGTGGCCGTAATCTGACTCGCAGTGCACTGGGAGCTGTGGGGGCAGGCTATGAGAGCTGCACTCTGGCCAGGGAAGGCATGAGTGGCAGACCTGAAGCAAGGCAGTGGGGGTAAGTCCTTCTTTGCCTTAAGGGAACAAAGCTCAGGGCCAAAAGATGAAACTCTGGCTCTTTTATTATAAATATATGTGCCTTCTCAGACAGAATCTAGAAGGAAATCGTAGGGCAGGTAGGCGATGCTTAGAGATCTGGGTATTGGGCATGTTCATAAGAGAGGCATAGAGAAGGTAGAAGGGGGATAAAAGGATGCTTTGCTGCAAAAGCCTCCATATATTCAAGACCTGTGCATGCACAGGAAAATTACCCTATGGAGGTAAAATCTATCTGCATTATTTTTCATCAGAAAAATTACTCACCCAGAGGCTCAGCTGTCCAGAAGCGGATCAGGCTGTGTGTTCAGCTAGAAAGTAATGTGTCCGGTTCAGTACAACCCGGGCACATCAACAAACCCCCTTTGTTCTGGGGCGAAGGAAGCAAAACAAATGGTGTTGATCCATTTCCAGTGAGTGCGAACACATAAGGGAACATTGCTGATAATAACAGGAGCTATGACAGACTCCGCTGAGGGGAGCACTTGTGAGGTCAGGGGTATGTATGTGCTGCCTGGAAACTTTGGGGTTCGTGGCTAACTGAGGCTGTTCGGTCTGCGCTGGAAGGAGATCAGATTTTGTGGGCTTTCCAAAAAAAGCTAAAATCACTGTTAAGGAACCTATTTATCTATTCGAGGTGTCGTCGTCGTTGTTATTGTTGTTTTCATTTCTCTGGCTGATGAAAATTTGAAGTTGAAAGAGCAACTGAGTTTCTTAAATCAGGTCTCTGGAGAGGCATGAGAGAATGGGCTGGGAGAGAGAATTCGGGGGGACTGGGGAAAGTGACGGAGAAGGGGTGTAGCAGGGAGGAGTCCTTCTGCCAGGGCCCGCCTCTCCTGGTGATCCATGCCTCCGCCTTCACCTTCATAAGGGACCTGAGGCTTCCTGCCCACCAGCCTCCCTAGCTCCCTGCTTTGTGCTCATTTTTCCCACTTAATCCAGTCACAGACGACCAGCACCTGTGGCGGCACCTTGCCCCCCCCCCCCCCCTCCCCTTTCCGGTTTCGGCCGAGGGCTGCTGGTGAGTTCAGAAGCCATCTTCCTAGCTTCTTTTTCAATTTGTAAGTTCTTGGAGTTTCTCCCCTTTGGGATATTTTTAATGTCTCTCCCAGAGCATACTCCCTGTCCTGTTCCAAGTGCTGTTTTGTCTCTTTATTTTCTCTTCCTCGAGGGAATATGATGTCATTGTCCTCCCAGCTGGGTTTTCTTGTAATTACATGATTCACTTAGAGGAGCTCACAGGCAGGGGACACCTGGGACAGGGCTGGCTGTCCCCCTTCTGGAGCTATCCCCCCCCCCCCCCGCCTTGGGCAGAAAATGGGTTTCTCTTTCCAACTCTGAGGCAAAGCACCATATCAAAGCAGAGGCCGACTTGAGATCCTAAAGGTCAAGGGAGAGTTCCCCTAGCCCTTTTTTGGCACAGCATTTCCCTACTGTTCATCCAGAACCCAGGCTCCTGGGGACAATAAGGGGGGGGGGGGAGGCGGGAGGGGTGGTTCCTCTTCAATAATCCATCAAGGGGAAAGCTCTAATAACTCTAATGTGTTCAAATGCTTGACTTTCTTGCCTAACCCTTTTCATTGTCCTCTGGTGATCAGAGCCTCTGCTAAATGTCCTCCACACTCCTTCGCACTCACGACTCTAACAGGCAAAGGATAAGAGCAAATGCCTTGAATAATGGAGTAACCAGTGTCATTGACCCCCACATCGGGAATTCTAGCCATTTCTTGCCCAAATGAGCACTGGGCATTAATATCCTCAAACCCCATCCTTTCTCAGTTCCAAAGATCCTCAGACAGTATGAGGAAAACAGACTGGAGGAACAAAGTGTTCCCTCTCGGTGGCTGTCTTGCTGTACCGCACCCTCCTCCCCGCTCCCCACCCAGGTCCCCGCTGACACAAGATCCCCCAGAAGTGGCAAGCCCCCCGACTTTCAGGGCCAGGCAGAAGTAGGAGACGGCCGCCAAGAAGACGCTGGAGAACGGTAGCTGTCCATGGAGACTTCTGCTCTGAAGACCACTGTCCCCCGCCCCGCGCCCTGCCCCGCGCCCCCGCCACCCCGCGGGTTTCCACGTCCCCGCACTCGGCTGCCCCCTGGAGGGCGCCGGAGGGGTGCCCGGGGCTCCTACTCCCGCCTTCAGGAGCACATTGAGAAGGTGTCTCTGAAGGGTAACGTCAGGGGTCGAGAGAGGGTCAGGCGCCAGGAGGGACTGTCCCCTCGCAGTGCAGAAGCACCGCGGAGCCAGGATGCAGCTTTCCCAGGCGCGGCCGCGGGGACGCCGGGGACGAGGGCGGGGCGAGCGCCTGGAGGCTGCTGTTTGTCCACCTGGCCGCTGCCCCGGGGCCTGGCACCGGCCCGGGGGTGGCCGCTCCCCCGGGGCCCAGGGCCCGCGGCCGACCGTCCTAGTGCCGCGCGTCCAGGCCCGCAGGGGAGACGGAGGGAGCGTCCCCGCCCCCGCTCAGGCCCCGCCAGTTCCCACCGCCCCTGCCAGCTCCCCGCCCCCTAACGACTTCACCTTCTGGAAAGACAGACTTCGGCATTCCCGGCCTCCTTGCTGGCCTCTCCTCTAAATCCGCAGTCTCTGCCGGGGCAGAGGAGAATCACGCTCCACAAATCCACTTTCAGAATGCCATTTTGAGCAATAAAGTGCAAAACTGCAAATGACCTCCCCCCCCCCTTTTTTGAATCGCTTTACGTTCAAAATATAAACAGCATGTTAAAAGTACACTGAAACTCAAAACCTTGCTCTGAGGGAATTAGCTCTTGCTGGGAGGTAAATACATTTCATTCTTAATTCTTTAAGAAACTTGATTTAGACATTTTCCTTTTTAGGGGCAAATCAGGGAAACTGGCTGAGCTTCGAATGTTAGATAAAAGGAGGCTAGAGTAACAGGGGACAATTAATTCATTAATTAAGAAGGTTTTCTGGAAGCATTGTTTCCTGGTATCAAATAACCTTTGAGGGGGCCCTTCCCCACAGAAGGGCAAGACTACAGGCCCCGAGTCTTCACCCAAATTCACGAACCTTGGTTTGATAGCTTCTGATATCAACTTGTTTTCTTTTCAGTAAGTGCGGACCTTTGTGTAGAAGAGAGAGCATCATGGTGGCCTTCAGAGGGGTCTGGACTCAAGCTTTCTGGAAGGCAGTCACAGCGGAATTTCTGGCCATGCTTATCTTTGTTCTCCTCAGCCTGGGATCCACCATCAACTGGGGTGGAACAGAAAAGCCCTTACCTGTCGACATGGTTCTCATCTCCCTTTGCTTTGGGCTCAGCATTGCAACTATGGTACAGTGCTTTGGCCACATCAGCGGTGGCCACATCAACCCTGCTGTGACAGTGGCCATGGTGTGCACCAGGAAGATTAGCATCGCCAAGTCTGTCTTCTACGTCGCCGCACAGTGCCTGGGCGCCATCATTGGAGCTGGGATTCTCTACCTCGTCACACCTCCCAGTGTGGTGGGGGGTTTGGGGGTCACCACGGTAGCATCTTTAGCTCTCATTTTCAAACTAGGATTCCAAGCTTCTTGCAGACTCTGCTAAATGCCACCCCGGTGGCCTGAGAGACTTTTCTAAAATTGCAAATTTATTCCCAGGGAATTTCTGACGATTCTTGACAGGGGGAAACTGATCCCAGCAACATTGAGCGTATCCATATATTATCATCGTTTGCTATATGGAGTGACTTCAATATTATTAAGTCTAGGTGACACAAAAATGGTGGTGTTTTTTTCCTCTCTCTCACTCCCATCCCCGTGACTATACTAGACTATATATTTAGCTTAAGGAATTTTTAATACAGCCATTGGTTGGCTCACTAAATTTTGTTTCTTGTCATGTTCGTGAGACTTAAAATGGTCTACATCAAGGACCACACTTAAAAAAATAATTGGCATTTGATCCTAGTTTTGTTCTTAACTGATTAGGAGTATCAGTTGTTAGCTCAGCACCAGATTGATTTAAAAACCGCACACAGTTTAAATTTTAATTGAAATATATATTAATTAATTTAAACCTAATTAATGGATTTAATCATTGCCTTATAAAATTACAAGACTCTCAAGAAACTCCTTTATAAGTTAAGTGCAGCAGTGGCACATTTTGCTTCCTTTGTAGAAAAGGACATTCAGCACAAATTCCCGCTTGGTCATTGTAAGAGTAATTAATTATCTGTGATGGCCCAAAATGAGTGGAAATTTATTCTTTTTTTTTTTTTTTTTTTTTTTGGATGCAGCCGGTGGGGAGTGGGGGGGCGGGTGTCTCACTCGTGGGGTAGAATAGATGACTCAAATTAACCATTGCTTTTTCCAGTGATGAAATAGGCCTTTCACAATAATATGTTCTCATAGAAAATGTAATCATGCTTCAATTCAGATAGAGCATTTTTCTCTTTCTAGGTTCATGGAAGTCTTTCTGCTGGTCACGGTCTCCTGGTGGAGTTGATAATCACATTTCAGCTGGTGTTTACTATTTTTGCCAGCTGTGATTCCAAACGGACTGATGTCACTGGTTCAGTAGCTTTAGCAATTGGATTTTCTGTGGCAATTGGACATTTATTTGCAGTAAGTTTCCAAGTCCATTTAAATAATTGATTCATTTCATTTATCATCACCCTAGAGCTGGCCTAAAGATATTGTGTTTTACAGCTGTAGTTCTTTAGTATCCAGCCACGTCTGTCCACGTTAGGTGATGATTTTGCTAACTTTATGATGAGAAGGTTGATATGGCTGCTAACGTCTTGACAGTTCCTCTAACTGACTTGGCAAATGGTAGCAAATTGCAATGAATGCTTCCTGTTACTAGCCCTGTTTCAGCAATGTCTGAAGTTGTCGTTTTTTGTTGTTGTTTTCCCTATAGATCAATTACACTGGTGCCAGCATGAACCCTGCCCGATCCTTTGGACCTGCGGTTATCATGGGAAATTGGGAAAACCACTGGGTAACCATCATGTCAATAGTACCTGTCCTCCTGCAGTTGACAATTGCCTATGTAGCTCTTTTTTTTCTTTGCCCACTAGTTTTCTTACTTCCTCTCAACCTTGACCGCCCCCCCTCCACTTTATTACATCTTTCATAAAGACCAGGGAGAGAGACGAGCACATATCTACGGTAGAACATCTCACCTTATATCTGTCCTGGGTCTTCAGTAATAGCCTTTCTTTTTTTATATAAGCACTACTCTGGGCACCGTATCTGATAGACTGAAGCAGAATACATTGTGCATGGAGGATGCCAATGTGGAACAAGCGAAAATCAGGATAGTGTGGTGAATATAGTGTTTAAGTAATTGAATGTAAAGCCTTCCTGGCAATGACAAAATATATACCTACCAAGAAATTAAAAAAAAAAAAAAAAAAAAAAGAAGAAGAA